CCCCTCGCGCGCACCCCTCGCGCGCGGGCCGCGGCCGCAGGGTCAGGCGCCGAGGACGCGCGCGGTTACCTAGGAGCGCTGCGGGGGGCAGCCGGGCCGCGGGGTCCTTCATCCAGTCGTCGTTGGCCAGCTCGATCACAGCGTCCACGTGCCGAACCTCGGAGCGGATCAAGTCGCTCACCCGCTCCTCGTCCTCGGCGTCCAGGGCCGACTTCAGTCTCCTCACCAAATCCGAGCTGACCGGGTAATCGGGAAGGCGGTCAGAGATCGACATTGCGATGGCGTTTGTGTGGCGACCAACCTGCTCTTTTTCTCGGCTGAGTCCAAAGTCAGCAGCTGCGCCGAGAGGGCTGTGGGCGAGGCTATAAATAGAACAGACGTGGCTCCAGTTTCAGCCCCGGGGACCGGCGCCGGCCGACAGCCCTCCCCAGCCCTCCGCTCCCGGAGATGGGGACGGACTCTCCGAGACCTCGGTGAGGCACTGTCTAGACACGGGCAGGAGCCCTGTTTGTGAGAGGGAGAAGGCGTGGGGGACGAAGCTGTTAAAAAAAGAGCTCTCGTGGGTACTGCTGTTCCGTGTCTTCTTTTATCAAAGCAAGACTCTGTCCGGAACCTGTAAAATCCCTTCCCTGAGCCTGGGCTTGGAACCTCTGTTCTGTTGAAGGCACTTTTCTTTAATGGAAGCGTAGTTGATTCACAGTGTTGTGTTCATTTCTGTACACATTCGTGTACAGCACAGTGATTCACTTACACTTACGTATACACACATACAAACTCCTTTTCATATTCTGCTTCATTATAGACCATTACAAGGTATTCAGTACAGTTCCCTGTGCTGTACAGTAGGCCCTGTTGTTTGTCTATTTTGTATATTGTAGGTAGTATCCATAAATCCTGAACTCCCAATTTATTCCCACCCACCCCCACTCCCCCTGGTAACCATAGGTTTCTTTCCTGTCTGTGAGTCTGTCTCTGTTTCGTAAATAAGTTCATTTGTGTCCTTTTTTTTTTTAAGATTCCACATATAAGTGATAACATACAGTATTTTTCTTTCTTTTTCTGACTTCACTTAGTGTGATGATCTCCAGGTCCATCCATGTTGCTGCAAATGGCATTATTTTATTTTTTATGACTGAATAGTATTCCATTCTATAAATATACCACAGCTTCTTCATCTAGTCATCTGTTGATGGACACTGAGGTTGTTTCCATGTCTTGGCTACTGTAAGTAGTGCTGCTGTGAACATTGGGGTGCATGTATTTTTTTGAATTGGAGTTGAGAGGAAGATTTTGTAACGTCTACCACCACAGAATCCTTCACTTCATCTAAAAGGAGGGTCTGGTTGACTATAAATTGGACATGCCTTAAAACTAAGAATACAGTAGAATCTTTGACTTCCAAATTCAGGGATGGACTGGCTGGTCTCAAGAAGACAAAAGCATGATACAAGTGAGCACAAAAAAAGTAACAATTATTGGCAGCAGCCTCTGTACTTCCTAAGGCTGCTAACTTTGGCTTAAAGCACCAAGTCCACACCCTGTGGAAGCACAAAGCACCATGTGTCGGTTTCTGTGTATTCCTGGGGGGAGCGGCCTTTTCAATGACCTCTGTCTCCAGTGTTTCTGGATCTCGCCAAGTCAGCCTGGGCACCACGCCCAGCTGCTCCAGCAGTGCCTGGGCGCGTGGTGATCGGAGGGGAACAGGCTGTGCCATGTAGCTTAAAAAAATCAATTAATTTTTAGATTTATTAAAATTGAAACATATTCCAAGTATAACCTTGTGCAAGTTTAAGGAGTACATCATGTTGATCTGATGCATTTATATATTGTCATATGGGTGCCACTGAACTGTTAGCAAACACCTCTATCATGTCTCAGAATTATGAGTTCACCCTGTGGCGGGGGTGATGAAACTCTCTTTGTCCCTAAACAAGTTTGATGTTCAGAATACAACACTGTTGCCTAGAATCACTCTACTGTGTGTTAGATCTCTATGTCTTATTTATCTACTGGTTGCAAGTTTGTGCTCTTCAATGACATCTTTCCTGTTCCCTCATGCGGCTTTTATAGAGCCTCCTCCATCTTGAGTCCCAGTTTTGCCACCTCTTCCCTTTCTCACTTTCTCTTATCTCCTGGTGTGATGGTTAATTTTCTGTATGAATCTGGCCAGGCCACAGTGTCCAGATATTTGTTAAAACCTTATTCTGGATGTTCCTGTGAAGTTTTTGTGGGGGGATGAATTGGTGGACTTTGAGTAGAGCAGATGACCCTCCATTGTGTGGATGGGCCTCATATAATCAGTTGAAGGCCTTACTAGGACAAAGACTGATGTCCCCTAAACAAGAAAAAGGACTACCAGCAGACAGCCTTGGGGCTAGAACTGCAACTCTTCCTGGGTCTCCAGCCTCCTGGCCTGCACTGCAGGTTTTGGACTTGCTAGTTGCCACAATGAGTTCATTTCTTGAAATAAATTATCATCTATATCTGTATCTATATGATTTAAGAATATCTATCGTCTATCTATCTATCTAT